AACGCCGGCCCCGCCCCGCCTAGGCTCCGCCTCTGTCCAGGCCCCGCCCCGGCCCCTGCCCCGCCCCAAGGCAGGCCCCGCCTCAGCGCCGGCCCCTCCTCTGTCCTGGCCCCGCCTCGGCCCCTCCTCAGCCGGGGCTCCGCCCCAACGCCGTCCCCGTCTCCGGCCACGCCTCTCCCCCGGTCCCGCCCCTGCCCCGCCTCATCACCGGCCCCGCCCCGGCAACCGGCCCCGCCCCGGACCACCCCTCAGCCACGCCCCGCCTTCCTCCTGGCCCCGCCCCTGCCCTGGCTCCGCCTCTCTTCCGGCCCCGCCTCCGGCCCCGCCCGCCGGCAGCCGCTCGCCGCTGTGTCCCGGTTTGTGTCCCGGATATGTCCCGAACGTGTCCCGGTTTGTGCCCCGGTTTGTGTCCCGGCCCGGCTCACGGCAGTCAGTGCGCCCTTGGCCCTGCTGGGAGCGCTCCCCGCCGTCCCTTTCCCAGCCATCGCGCCAGGATCGCCTCGCTCTGTCATCGGCTGCTCCCAGCCCCAGCTCAGCGTAGCTCAGCTTGACGTGATTCCTCTGAACAGCCTCCAGCTGTGCTGAGTGTCTCCGTGAATGTAAAGTGTTGGTTGTTTTTTTTAAAAATGCTGCTGTTTTATTTTTTATACAAACTAAAACACCAGAGGTCATTGAATCCTATATTAAATACATAAATTAAAAAATAACCATTCATAAAACTTTACATACAATAAGGATTCTCTCCTACACGTTAATACATATAGTACAGGTACATGTCCAGTGTTTATCAAAGGGTCATTCTGCCAAGTAATTTACAATTTTGTTCTGGAAGAGACACCAAAAAAATCTGGAACAAAAAGTATATATAAAACCACAGAGGTGCTGATGTGAGAGAGGGCAGGGGAAGAGAAAACCCTTTGGATCACCAGCAGCTGTGTTTGTTCTGTGAGCCCTGCTCATGGCAGGAGAGCCTGGCCTGGGCAGTCCTCATGGGATGCCATAGAACTGAAAACTTTGGGTTTCAGAGGATGTTTCCCACTGAGATCATGGTAGGTGGTTGGAAGATTAACAACACCTAAAAAAATTCTCCGTTGTCCTCCAGGCACATCAGTAAGAGAGGATGCACCTGTGAGCCAGGCTGGTAACTCTGCAAACACCGTGTCCTTACTGCAACCCCAACTGCCTTCGTTCATCTCACGTAACCAGGCCATCATCTGAAGTGCTTAAATTCAAAAAATAGTCTTCAAAGTCTCATAACTTGGTCAGTGGGGGAAAAAAAAGCAAGTCAAATTGTGGTCAAGCTGACTTGTACTACCTTCTGTGGCTCACCTCCTGCTTTGGCAGGATGGATAGCCTGGAGCGCTGGGAGGGATCCAGGGCTGCATTCGCTGTCCTCAAGGGCTGCGGTAAATTGATTTTTATTCTTCTTGTTGCTTTTGGGGAGGGGAGGTTGGCTGCAGTGACTAATCTGCGGGAGGATTCTCAATCCTTTGCTTCAATGAACATCAGGAACAGCAGAAAGCCCAGGATTAACAGTCCAAGGAGAGAGAAGGGTCCAGAAAAAAAAAATTTAAAAATTAGCTGCCCATGAGATGTGAAACTAAATCTGGAGGAATGTGGCAGCTAAACAATCAGGATTCAGTTCCCCATGCCTAGACTGAAGTATACTTTCATAAGCTACAGCAATAATTTCTATATACAATAGGGAATTGGTAAGTATATGCAATATATGTATATATATGTACATATACATATAGATACATGTGTGTATATATATATATACACACAGACATGAAACTCATTTTGATCTAGCTGATAGCAGAAAGTTCGTATTAACTCACATCAGCATGTGTGTTTTAGGCATGGCATGTGTTAATGTTGCAAGGAGAGGAAAGCAGCAGGGTTCAGCTCCCTGGAGGGAGGAACAATCTCTGAAGTTTGCAGAGCCAGGTCTGCTGCAGTCAGACAACCAGCCCCCATCACACCCTGAACCTTTGGGAGTGCAATACCTGCATGCATGTGTATACACACAGGAGTAAGGGAGGGCAAATTACACCAAAAAAAAAAAAGAAATTAAGTAAGATAACATGACTTAGGGAGTCCAAACAATGAAGCCTGCCACAAGACCAGTTAAGTATGTTGTGAAAGTGTGTATTTCTAACTGTGCCATAAACCTTCTGTACGACTGCCTGAAATAAATGTTTCTAGGGTTTTTTTAAAACCAAACCAGCGGTGGAAGCTCTTGCACCATCACTGAAACCAAGAGCTGCTAATTCTTCTGCAAGAAGCACTAAAGTGCTTTAGCTGCCAGCCCTAATGTGGAAAGCCACCTGAAGGTGTGCAATTACCTGATGCTGCAAGAGGAGAAAAAAGCGAGGTGAGAAGAAGGAACAAGCAGAGAGAAAGCTCCTCTGCAGCTAACCAGCTGCTCAGTGATCTCCAGCTGTCACAGGAGTGGGACCACTCTTCCAGGGCCCAACTCCAGAGCTTCAGGACTGAACTGCTAGCTCATGGAAAGCACATGTACATTTGGGCCAACCTTATCCACAGAGTCTCCTGCTAGGGAAAAGGAATTTGAACAAAAAGCACACAATGTGCCTGCAATCATGTAACATATCTACCTACTAGCATATTTCTTTAAAAATTAACCAGCAAGCATTCAGTTTGGTGCCAGAACTCAATAAACCCCTTGGCCGAACCAGAGTGTTTCAACAAGATGTAGTCATTCTATAATTTAAATTAATTTTAAGGAGTAAGAAAAAAAATCACTTGCTAATAACTTCTAATTTTCCATGGAAGATTTAACACTATCTCCTGGCACTCCAGAAATAAGGATGTCAGCAGTCTTTGTGGAGAAACTGAGCCCAGAATTGCAATGCAGTTAGTCAAATGGATATTACTGATTAAAAGCTATTCTGGCCAAAAAAAAAAAAAAAAGTGTCTGTGAGGTGCAGGCATCCTTGATACTAGAGGAACTTCCTCCCTCCTATAGCTAAGGAACTGCTTTTGATGTGCTGAGTTGCTCTGGCAAGTGACCTCACTGATTTGTGCCTCAGCTGCTTAGTCTGTAAAAGTAAACAGGCAACCAAAGGAGAAAATCCTCAAAAAACTCTTTGAAAGCTCTTTAAAAGCTTCTGATGTGCGTAAGATGTTGGTACATGTGATCCCTGCTTTGAAGGTGTAAGTAATGCACAAGCTGTATTCTGGCCCTTAATTTTCTAGTTTCTAGTACAGAAATCCATTTCTTCCAGTTAAAATTAAGGTTCCATCACAGAAGACAGAGCCTGGCTACAGGAACCCCAAGTCTGAACAGGCAGGAAACCAGAGGCACTGAGAAGTGTGCTGTCAGCCCATCAGTGAGAAAGGGAGGGTGGGTGCAGCTGGCTGCACTCCCTCCCTCAGCACAGGGCTCTCAGTGAGAGTCATCCTCCTCAGGGAGGACTCTTCTGAAAGACTGCTGGCCAGCATGGACCTACATTTCTGACAAAGCACTGGGTGCATGGACCTATGACCTCAGGGAGGCACCACAGCTGGGTTCCAGGCTTCATGATTACAGAGGTAAGTAATGCTTTCAAATTAAAACTACTTTTAGTTATCTTAACTGTGGAAAAAGCTAACCAGACTAGCAATATGTCTTATTTGTAATAAGGTTGTGTTCACAATGTTTTTCCCCATTTTTGGTCTATATATCATTGATCAGGAAGGCAACTAACAAAGTCAGTTGACAAGCTGAACCAAAACATTTTTTTCCAAGCTGGGACAAAACAGTTGGAAGCTGATGCTTTGTGAATCATGTCAGATGGATAAGGGGATTAGCTTTCCTCCCTGCCCTGTCCTCCAACATTTCTTTTCTTTCTCAGAAGCAACTCTGCAGGTCTAATTCAGTGATCCTCAGTGGTTATTCTATAGTGAAACCAAGTATAGTCATTATTATCTCAATGGCAGTCTTTAAAGAGTATGAAAAGTATTGATAACAGACAGGCTGTTCTTCATGGAGGGATGGTGAGAGAGATAAGGCTTCAACTCCACTGGAAACCCTCCTTATGCCATTCACCCTCTTCTTCCATTTCTTGGCCAAGGCAGGTGGTGCTGTGTAACAATCTCAAGCACAAAACATGGTGACCTGTCCTCCCATCCTGCAGTAACGCAGACTGGGTTTTTTCCCTTTCTTCCTTCCACATTGCAGCTGTCATTTGTTCCTGAGGTTAAAACCAAAGAGGGAGAGCAGGAGTCCCTGCAGCAAAAAAGCCACACACTTCAAATCGAGCACTTAGTTGTCAGCATCTCTTGAGTCTCTCCTACTCTGATCTGTTCATTTTTGATCCATTTGTCAGATGACAGGGTGACATTTAAATGATTGCCCTGCACAGCAGGAATAGGTTTTTCTATTGTAACTTTGGTTCCATGCCCAAGACACACTGACTCGACCAGCTGAAAGTGGTTCCTTCCCTTTAAGTTCTTCCTAGGTGATGTAGGTTGTCAGTTTATTTTTCTTCCCCTTTTGTAATTTCAACATACAGAAATTCATTAGATGCAGCATATATCATAGCTTTAAACAGGAATTGTCAGGTAACAAATTTTGAGTGATGGCTTTAAAATACAAGGTGGTTGCAGTCTTGGCTACAGGTTGTTCATTTTTATACTTTTGAAAATAGGTGTAAACAATATTCTCTTCATCGAGGGGTGGAAGCATTTGCCTTTATAAGGACTTATCTGTGTAGTCGGGCACTCTAAAAGTTAAAAATAAAAAGAAGAACATCTGTATCAGATAAGGTATAAGTTTGTAAGTTCCTCTACCTACCTATCCCAGATTTGCCAAGATACAATCAATCTAGCAATCAGGAAGCTGAAAAGGCTAGTAGTTATCAGTGTGAAACTGGTTTTGTCTGCATGAAAAGCACTTGTGAGAATTCTGCCTATTTTGATAAACTTGTTCATTTAAACCCCACAAAGTTCAACCCTGTGGTGCATAAAAGTCCCCATGGGAACGTTCACATGAGTAGGATGCGTAAGTTTCAATGACTCTTGAACTAAAGCTGCCTACAATTCACCTCTAACAAGAGCCACAGCAGCAGGCAATATCCTTGGGGTGTCAGAGCAAGCCCAGAATTTTGGCTAATGCAGCACTGAGGCAAACAGAAACTGCTGCTGCTGTTCTGAGAAAGCCTACCCCACCTATAGAAAATAACTTTGGTTCTCAGGTTTGAGACCAGGGAAAAAAGGGCATATTTTGTCTTTGTTATCTCAGCATTCAAGCCTACACAGTAAAATTCACTGGGTGCAAAATCCACACAGACCACACTTCCTTATGTGATCACAAATAAGTGAATACATATGTTCACAGAGAAAATGCAGGTAGGAAAATCTCATATAAACAGGAATTATAGAGCTTCTGGATACTGTATCTGCTGCACATGGCTTCCTTCATCTGCACATTCTTGTCCTTTGTTATTTCAGTACAGCAGTGAGTCAAGTGTTCACTCTGGGTGAGAAGGAAACCAGAAAGTATCATCTGTGACCACACTGTGGGTTTCTCTCTCCTGGTGAGAAGATTGGTAAAGGATAAACTGCACTAAGGCATGAACAAAACCAAAGACTTTTCATCATCATGTGGCTCCTAGGATGAGCTGGGCTTTTTGTTTGTTTTGTCAGGGATCTGTATGAAGTCCCTTATGATAAGGCTAAGACAGTTCACTTGCATCCACTGGAAGTAAAGCAATTTTGCAATATATATATATATATATAGTATATTATACATATGACAAAATATACAGCTCAATAGCTGTAAGAAGAAATACTGATGGCACACTCCCCATGCCATGCTCACCTTTGCTGAATTAAATCACCTGGGTAGGCAGGTGTTTTTTAATGCAAATGGGCAACACAAATCAATGTCAGTTATTCTCTCCAATTCCATGTATTCCAGCCTTGGAAAATATGACTTTGCTAAAATCCCTCTCCATCTTGCCAGTATTATTCCCAAATTGCTTGTGTCTGGAGATTTCCCCTCAGGTACTGAAGCGAGAGGATCCCATGGAGGAAAATGCAGGGGTGAAGGCAGGGGATGAGGAGCTTACCATTACCTTGTTTTTGAGGAACTGCTACAAGACTTGATGCTTTGCACCTGTGGAGTGACTGGCCTTGGTAAAACACTCTACAGGTATCATGCGTGCTGTGATGCTGGGCCTGCTGCAGCTGTCTTTACAGTTCAAGGGAGTTCACAGCAGTGCAGATCCTCTGGAAAAGCATTGAGTTTATATATCCCCCACACACACCTCACCCGTAAGATTTTTCCACCTTCATAGTCAATGTCAGTTCTCTAAATCACTGTATCTCCACCACTGTCATGACTCTTTTCCTCTGTCACTCAGCTCACCATAATCTGTCTTGTTGATGCCTACCTGATGTTTGTAAAGCCAAATGTGTAAAAGCAGGATGGGAAAGGCAAAAGAACCCTTCACCTCCTGGGTGGTCCTAGGAGTGCCACAACTACCTAGCAGGCTTTATGGGGCTGTAACCCACATTTCAGCTCCTGCTGATGCTTCTCATCTTCTCTATGCGGAACTAGACCCCCGTGTGCTCCAGGGACCAGCAACTATGGAGCAACAGTGACTTCAATGAGTGAAACTCATCCTGGCATTGTAGTTAGAGCAGCATTCCCAGGCTCAACAAAGTGATCTCGAAGGGATTGACACCTGCTAAACCTTAGATGTTATGTAAAACAGGAGTAAAACCCACTGAAGGGGATTGGGCCAGAATGGGGGGTGGAGGTAGTGAATTGTTGACACAGTCCTTAAGAGATCCATGTAAATTCCCCTGCAATGACATCAGTCAATGTACAGCTGGGACAGCTGCATCAGCCCTAAAGACAGCACAGAAATGTTTATGTTGTTCTGACTATGAGTCCTGTTCAATGAACATGAAAGCAAGGTATGCATTAGCTCTGAAGAGCAAGAGCTGAACAGAACCCAGCAGCCCAAGGAGGCAGGATGACTCCAAGTGAAAAATAGCAAACCTCCTAGAACTTAGGAAAAATATGGAGTTCTGACCTTAAGCATCTCATTAGCTTTTCTAACCAGCCAATACCTGCCCTCAAATTAGGCCAGAAGGACCTAAGTGTTATCAGCAAAAGGAGATTGGTATTGGTAATACTAGGACGTATAAGCTTCTCACCAATTCTGTAGCTGTACTACAAGAGGCAAATACTCACTAGAGAACCAATACCATACCCACACTGGTGGGAAATGTAGGTGCAAACTGTAAATATAGAAAACTCTAAACCTGTTATGCCCAAGTTTTTCTCATATGCTGCACAAGGACATTATTTTAGTTGTGATAGGAATGGAAAAACGACGACAGTACAGGCAAATGGAAAAAATTCACGCAGGCAGGTTCTCACAAATGTCACTACCAGTTCCTGTGATTTTTCAAGGTGCACCTTAAATCCAATATTTTTTTTTATTTGGAATCTCCCTCTAGTTGACTGCTTGTTCTAGACTCATGATTCTGTGATACAGCAAAAGACACAGTCATATAAAGTTACTTGCTACTACTGTGTACTGTGAAAATCTTGGCTTCTTAAAATTATTCTGTCCATAATTTGGTCACTTCAGAGGTGTATGTGATTTTTTTTCTTCATTATGAATAAGCAAGAAACTGTGAAGTCGAACTTTCACCAGTCAGAGCCACCTAAAACATCTCACAGTCATAACATGCTGTACCATGGTTCTCAGAAATCCTGCAGTAGGAACACAATTAAGTATGCAGTCGTAACTTAATGTGTGTCATAATCACTGGATCAAGGCAGTATGTTTTAAACAGAAGCAACTTGATAATGATACTGACTCTTGTTCACAAGAGCTGTGATCACTATCTGTCCACATTTCTCCTAATTTCTCTATCGGTTGTTCCCTGTTCAAGCCAACCTCCATGTGTATTGATGCCTCAGCCCATGGAAACATTCATTTTGAGGTCTGGTCAAACAAGGACACAGTGGATTCCAGTTGATGTGGATAATTCTGAGAGTTGTCTCTGCATCAGCACAAAACTGCAAATGAAAGCTTTGATCTAGTTGAAATGAAACACGAAGTAGAGGCTTTTCCTTAAAGGGAAAAGGAAAACCCACCAAACTGGACCCATGCCACTTAATTATAATCAATACCTTGAATTGTATCTGGAAACAAAGAATGAGCTGGAACAAATGGTGGAAGGGCATGGCAGAACATCTTTCACACAACTGTACCTCAACTTGTCTCAAGTGGAGAGCAAAGGAATTATTCATTGACACAGCTGAAGCCAGAGCCAAGAGAGACTGAGAAATTTAATGGCATGGGTTGTCATCACCTGTTCTTCAAACTTTAACATTATGTTTAATGTTAATACATATATTAAACATTATGTTTTATGTTAATGTTGTACACTATGTTCTACTTTTGTTATCCTGGATCAAAAGAAATATTGTCCTAGCCCAGCATCCTTGTTCTGGAAGTGGTTAGCCACAGAGAAAAATGGGACCATTATAGTTCTGATTTATTTCCTTATCTTCACATTACCTTTTGCATTATGAACTTTTAGCTGCTAAGCATACCGTGACAGCCAGAAAAATCCTTCCATTTCTCTGTCTCTCCCTTCCTGTCTCTCAGCAGCTGATCATTCTTCCTTGTCCTTCTTTGTATTTTTCCTGCTGCTGGACACAGAGCTCTACCTGTTTTAAAATCCTGATCTTCCTGAGTGTTAGTTCAGCATGTGTTTATATTTGAGATTATTTTAACTGTTTTCCGTCTGCAACCCTTTGTAAACATCAACATTAAATTTCCCCTGCAATTCCCTTGGCTTTTTAAATACTGTGAAATTCCTTGTTAGTTTTTATTTTTATGAATAGCCCAATATCACCAGCAACTCAGCAGTACAACAAGCCCCTGCTGTGAACTATTATAAATTGACAACAACCTGCTGCATTGGCTGAGTCCAAACATCCACAAGAACACACAAGGATGTGATCCTCCGGTCTGTGCAAGAAGTGCTAGCTTTGACGACATAAATAAAACAGTCTTACCTTTCCAAGAGGCACATTGACATCAAGGCCAAAGAATAAAGGCAAGAGAGAAGAACAAGAACAGAAATAGAAACTGTAGAAGAAAAATAAGACCGTGTAAAAATGAAAGGTAATGGCATTGTAAGCATCAGAATTATTTTTGCACTGTAGAACAGTTAGAATATTTATTCATTCAGAAAACACTATTATTTCCCTTATTAATTCTGTAAGTACCACACCACCTCCCATGTTTAGAAAACAGATCCAAATAATTTTGGTGATAGATTACAATTGGCACCATATTGCAAGCCTGAGGTGTAGCTGTCACATCATGACACCCCACAGGTTGACAAGTCATAAAGCTGGATAACAAAAATAGCATGTGTAGTATTTTTAAGCGTGTTAAAAGATAGTGACTGCAATCCATACTAGAAATAGCCTGGACATATAAATACATAAATATAAATATATAAATATATATATGTACACATGTATGTTTATAGGTACCTACACACACACCCATATCAAACACCCACCATTACATTTTAATAATGTAATGTAGTATTTTAAGATTAAAGTCTGTATCTACTGACACAAACTGAAAAGAAAGGACAGTGGACCACCACCAACAGGTGCAGCTGACTGAGTAGAACAGAAATGTCATGTAGTTCAAGAGAACTGGATGACTACTTTCAAAACAAAGTTAATCACTGTGCTTCAAAGGATAACAGAACCAACCTTTTCCTCCAGATCCTTAATCTGTCTCTTTTGGATGTCAGTTTTATCTTCTAAATCTCGGATCCTCTGGAAATCAGAAAAGAAAGCATATACACTAAATTCTCAGTAAATCTATCCCACTGAACAAGTAGCTTAATGTTCCATAGGCCAAAAGCCTAGAAATCAACAAATCCATTTCTGTGGCAGGGACAATCTTGTGTCATACTGTGACTCCATCCACTCATCCCGCCAAACCACAGCTTTACCACGTGTGCAACTGCTCAAAATATGATCCTGCATATATGTAACTGGATCCTTAAATGCTGGAAATTAGTATTAATGATTGATCTGTTTTTGCATTATCTATTTATTAATACTGTGTTTAACAGATCAACAGTCTAAGATCATGGTTACAATCTTTAGAATTCAAACATGATTCACTAAGATTTGTCACAGTTTGATGTGTTGAAAGAGGATTAAAGTCTTATTATTAGATACAAAATTATAAAAGTATACAATATTATGAACATATTGATTCTGTGGTGAGTATACATATTGTATACATAAATTACATAATTATACATAATATAACTTATGTATACATAAGTTACATATATGTAACTTACAGACAAGGTGGGTATTTTTAGCAGAGCTAGGTACTTAAAAAAAATTATGTAGCATGACTTAAACTTTTGCCTGCTTGGGAGGAGAGATCCCCCAGAAAAGAACTTCTCAGCACAAGAAATGAGGCCTTGAATCTCAGTATCTTTTTTTTTTTTTTTTTAATTAAGTCAGGTCATAAGACAGCTGTCCAACAAATAGCAGAAATCCAAAGAGGCAAAGCAGGAAACACCTGAATGCCTGAGCACCTGGGAACAGGTGATCTGTGAATGTCTTCTTCAATGTCTGGAGATGAGATGACTAACTTATGGCACCATTCAAATTCTGTGGAACCACAAAATCACAGAATGAGTCAGGTTGGAAGGGACCACAGCCGTTCACCTGGTCCCACCTCCCTGCTCAAGCAGTGTCACCCTAGAGCACATGGCACAGGATTGCATCCAGATGGCTGTGGAATATCTCCAGGGAGGGAGACTACACATCCTCCCTGGGTAATCTGTTCAGTGCTTGGTTACTCGCACAATGAAGAAATTCTTTTTCATGTTCAGGTGGAACCTCTCCTACAGCAGTTTCTGCCCACAGCCTCCTGTCCTATTCCTTGCCTACCTCCTCCTTCCTTTGCCTCTCAGCCACTTCCAACTGAGGCTGGCTCAGAGTCATTCTGAGAAGCCAAAACTGCTGTGGCAGTGTCCCTCAGTGCCTGCAGTTTGCCTAGATTCGAGCTCAGACTGTGTTCTTACACAGAAAGGCTGAGTAGATACCACATGTGATTTCTTCTTCTTACCTGATGAGCCTGCTGGAGCAGCTCCATCCTCTCCTGAAGAATCTGGCAATCATATTCTCTGCTTTTCCTCAGCATCTGACGTCTTAGCTTTTCTACAGCTGTCCTCAGCTCTTCCTGCTGTTTTTCAGTGAGTAGTTCCCCAAACTTTATCACTGTTTCTTGCTGCAAAGCATTGTACAAGGTGGCTTCAAGCTCCTGGATCCTCTGGTTGATGCAATACCAAAAGTCAGTTAGAGATGAAACATGGTTTAAACCACATTGGAAACTGGGGGATTGGTGGCAGATTCAGACCCCTGCATGAGAGGCAGTTCCTGTGCTCAAGTGTGCAAAAACGTGAAAAACTAAACTCAGAAAATGGTTCTATGTTCTGAAAAAGGGATAGGAACTTTTATTTTTAAAGTATTTTAATATTAACTTTCACTGAAATCCTTCCTTTCTACTCTTTTTTATGGAGTTAGAGTTGGATGAAATGTTCCTATCTGAAGTGTAAATTATTTCACCAATTCTAAAATTTCCACCTGTTGTGCTAAAAAACTCCAGTTGGACAGGCCAATATTCATGAGCAATATCTACCTTAAACTGACAAGAGTTTCAGACTTCAGGAGATGTGCCTTTTTATGACCTGAAAAGGTAAGCTATTGTGTTGAAGCTGGGCAGATTGCATGCTAGTACATCAGAAGAACAAGGAAAGAACAAATTTTTAAAAACCCAATTCTAACAAAAAAGCAAAAAACTCTCCTCCTGATTCAACAAAAGTCTGTGTGCTGTTGCAGAGTAGGCCAGTATGTGCTGCAGAATTTCCTTTGTACATACCATGTACGCTTGGTCAAGAGCTTGCTTTCTGTAGTCTAATTCTTCCTCCAAATAACCTTTTATTTTGCAAAATTGCTCCTACAATGAAGGACCATTTAGACAGAAAAACAAATTAGTTACTCCAAATAATTCAGGAAGTTTTATCAAATTATTTACATATATCTAATTCAGCACGACAAAGAGACTGGTTTTCGACTGATACTCAGCAGAGTTATTAATATCTGACTCAGGCAGAAAAGAAGGAAGGGCAAATAGCTGTAGATTGATCTTGTAGGTGAAAATGTCTGATGTACATGGAACTAAATCCATCCTCTCTGTTAGCTTCAGTGGTATTGCTTGGCATTTCAGTAGTGAAATTTAGGGTTTTCTGTGTGATTTTTCTAAAGATACTTCCTCTGGCATCAGGAATTACTCTTTTTGTGCCTTCTCTTGTTTTTGAAGAGGTGCAAAAGTGGACTGAACTAAACAGGAACTAACTATACATTCATATTCCTTGGGGGCAGATGCTGTGCTTTATCTTATCAGTCCACCTTAAGCTGAACAGACTTAAGTACAGACATACCACAGGAACAAAACACAAGCCACTACAGCTGTCTAATTCTTGTAGTTATGTTTGTTCATCTTATAGGCTACTGCCATTAACTATAATAAGAACAGGGTAAGATACAAACTTTACTTAGTGTGTAATGAAAGCCAACAGTGTTATTATTCAGGTCAACAATTTCTCACATGCTGGTCCTGAATAAAATGCAATACAACAGCTGATGTTTAGGCTGTGAATCTTATGAGACATATAATGCATGCATCCCTGAAAATTATTGAGAAACCTTTGAACCCTCTGTACTTGTTAATAAACAGTCATCCTCACAGAAAGAGAGAGGAATTTTTTTAACTTTTACTATTTCTATTACGGTTATTCTGCATGTGAACTGGACCAGGAACAATTTTATGGATTCACCAATAATCAGAGAAATGCTGCATAGTTCATTTGTCAATACACTTTCCTAGTTATTTTTACATACTTACATACTTACATCAAGTAAGTATGACACAATCAGTGTCCCTAAAACATGTAATAAGGAAAGTTTTCTTACCATATCACTTTCCAGTTCCATCATCTTCTGATGCAGAGCAGCTTCAGCTCCCTCAATCTGCTGTATCCACTGAAGAGAAGACAATGAAACCTGCTGTATTTTCTAGCACACAAGCAGTGGCAAGTGGGATATGTACAGCATCTTGTTAGTCTGTTTTTAGCAGCCTATTGCTGCTGGGCTCATCTTGAGGCTGTTTGTGACAGAGGCCATGATATCTGCAGGTAGCACTTGGCAGGGAAGCAAGCAAGAGGATTACCACTGCTGGGTCACCAGAAAATGGAAAAGCACACACCCTTGGATGGACAAGGAACCCATTCCATCCTATGGATAAAGGCCCACAATGGGGCTATAGCATCTCAAAAATAGCTTAGTTGGCTTTATGGCAGTTCTGTTTGAAGCGGAGGCATTGTTGGGCAGAGTCCTTGGAAGCTGTCATGTTGAAAAATCTGTATGCTGCATTTGAGCCTTAGAAAGCAATTTTAACCAATCACCACTTTCTTCTTAATTTTTGAAACAAGAAATGTAGACACACACTTTCAGTGAAATTTTGACATACAGATGCTTTTGGAAGCTTTAGAAATCTCAGGACTGTAAATCCCAAACTTTATCTAATTACAGTTTAGATTTCTGATGATTTCTCATTCAGTTTTCAATTGCAAGTTTTGTTTCATATTATTTTTGTATTTGTAGTTTCTTCTACTGGACAGCTCGGGCCAGCTCAGTTTGTTATTTTTGCTGCTTCAGCAAGGTGTTTGGGACTGTGCTGGCACAGTTCATTTTATTTGGGGAATACTCCCAACAGTAAAAAGTTTAACGATATTGATGACAACAACAGGGCAGAAAATGTGTTAGATGAGGCTTTAGATAACATGAGAAAAGCAAGTATGTGATTTACCTTTTCTGCCAAGGACAATACCGTGGAAGCCTGAATTATGGCCACTTGTTCTTCATTCCTTAAATTCTGTGAAGAGAAAGAAGGAAAGAGGAAAATTGGCAGCAGTTTCCTTCATGAACAAAGACAATCCAGCCTACAAACTAGGTCCACATTTTTCAGAGGATCCCTGTAGTACTGAGTATTCAGTTTCCATTGAAATATTCAGTCTGTTCACATATTAAGAAGACCACTAGTTTTGCCTTTCTACATGATATGGATTAATTGTATAATTCATTCCATTACACCTTAAGAGAAATGTAAACTAAAATTAGACCCATTTGTTTGTCTTCATACTAGTTTAAGCTGAATTTCCATTAAAGCTTTTGTAAAAATAGTGCTGATCTACATCAGCACATGAATAGACAATAATGATCCTTTGTTTTTATTTCTCATAAACTTTTTAAAGACATATCTAATGTTGGCCAGAGATACAGCATCTCTTTTACATGGGCAGCTATGCCCTCTTAGAAAGCCACGGGGAATTCGATATTTATGAAACTCTACAAAAGAATCCTAGTCCTGATGAAGAGTGGTTTATTCAGACTGCCAAACTCCTTCATGTGTTTTTCTGAGTGAAGAGGGTGCAGTTGGGCCCAGTCCCAAATATTGGTGGTTTTTGGATATTCTTCCCAGTCTGCCAAACCATACGTAACAGATGCATAATTTAACAAGTATCTTTGAAAACAGTCATAACTATACATAACACGTACTGCACTGTACAAAATGCAGCTTGTAAAGACAAAATATCTCTCATTTCAACTTACCCCATTATCACCTAGGATGTCTAACTGCTTTATAAGGTCTGGGATGCTGACATCCTGCAAAGAGAGAATAAGGTAAAGGCATGGCATCCACCTTTTATCAGGACTGCCATATCCATCTATCCTATGAACCACATGGAAGCCAGCCATTTTATTTTAGCCTATGGAAATGCATCACACATTGATTTCAGTTGCCTTTGAAACAGATTTTATCATTATGGAGAGAATTTTAAGTCTAATTCAACTGTGTCTGTCACCACACTCTTACATTAGACCTGATTTAAATACCTAAAGTCTAGTGGAGTTATTTGTAATGGATTATATGGGCAGCACCACCACTCCTCTAGGGAGAAGCACTGTTTTATACAACTGACCTACCTTAACCCCTTCCTTCATGCAGTAGATCTGTAGAGCACTCACACCATCTGAGAATGGGTGAATCTGGAGATTAAATGGTGGGGACCGTCTCTCTCTTTCCTGCAAATTAATTGAAAATATGCTAGAGAATCTATTAGAATGAAGGAGATGCACATAGAGAATGCCATAGGTGCTGTTTATATCACTCTTGGCTTGCAAAGCCAAGCTCTTCATTCTACAAGCCAAGGAAAGAAACATGAAGATCTACTCTGAAAAAGTGAGCCAAGTGGGACAGGATCCTAAATCCAAGGTAACTGTTTAACAGGAGATTATTTGATAAATCATGTCAATTTGCAAACTGGCTATGGAAAGGCTGTCACCTAGCTAAGATTCAAGTGATTTGCTTTATTAAGTGTTGAACAACTCTACATTGTTGTAAATACTCCCTTTAGAAACAGGTATTTGACTTCAGACTATTGGGAGACTCAGATTACACGTTTTCCTCATCCTGGTATGCTGTACATTCTGACAGCTGTGGATGGGTATGGTGCTTACTATTTCCAGGATATTAGAGCTGACATACTTCAGCTCACAATTAAAAATGCTGGGCCTGATTTGTAACTCTGTTTTATTGCTACTACACTTGTGTAAATCCTTGACTAAAGCTGGTGTCCAGTGCAAGTGCAGTCAATTAATTTTCTACCAGCTCTACTGTAAGAAGCCCATCCATCACCTCCAGCTCAAGGTTGCGGAACTCCAGCAGCTCGTTCTGGTCTCGCGCATCCTGCAGCTCCTGTTGCAGACGGTTGTTTTCTGCTTCCGTTTTCTCTATCTAACAGAAATATGTAAAACCATGACCTGTGTGACTGTTACAAGAACCATGAAGTATTTGGTGAGTAGTAGTTGAGGTAGCACAGGCTGTGCAAAATCTAACCCCTTAAGATGTCTCACGAGATCCAGATAACCCTTCAGAGCGAACATGCAAACCTTTGGAACGTACCTTGTCTAACAGCTCTTGGTTCCTCTTAATAAAAAGCTGCTTATCTTCCACCCAGTGTGAGTCCTGTTGGATGAAGCAGTAGTATTACAAAATAATCAAATTCCAAAAGGCTGTGCACATTTATTGAAAATTGGAGCCACAATATTCAGACTTTAACATCCTACAGGGACAAGTTGTCTTTTACAGAACAACAACATTTTAAGATTACCAAGGTGTAGCAAGGCTTCTGAACTTGCCAGATCTGCCTGTTTACTGATTGATGACATTACATCTCATGGAAGTTTATACTGAAATTGTGCTTGCTATTTTGTAAGCAGAGCAGGTAAGATACAAAATAGGGAAAAAAACCACACAAGAATTACTTGCCTGCCCTTTCTGAGCCAAAGTTTTCTCCAGATCTTCTATTTTGGCTTTATACCTCTGGACTTCAGCTTGAAGTTGCTCCTGAGCCTGTTGAAGTCAAGCACCACATTAAAGAGTAACAAAACCAGCAATGTGACTGGTATTAAAAGGAAACCAAAACCAGCAGAGCCTAGGTTCATGCTGTCAGTTCCACTGAGTGAGCAACCATTAGAAAGATTTATTACTTGATGAGATGTTTTGTGCCACCCCTTGACTGGCACTTGGATGACACAAGAGAACAGAGCAGTGGATCAGCCCCAACTCCCCACACAAGCCTGTTCCACCATGGATTGCATTAGAGCAGCAAAACACAAGCTCAGGTATTTTGGGCACTCTGTTCCAAGACCCTCATAAGGGGCAATCCCTAAATCACAAAAAAAAAGTACTTAGCAGATCAGAGTGGCAACAGGTAGTGGGAAGAGGCAAATTTAACTGCCAGGGGGTTCTTCAAGAGCTGACTCAACTAAATACTAAACAAACCAATACGATCTCACAGCTAACTGCTTTGAGCAAGAATTTGGGCTGGAGACTGCCTGAGGTTCCTTCCAGCCTGAATGATTCCATAATTTTATTAGAGGGACAACATTTTTAGCCTTGGAAGGTTTATTGTAGCCTGCATCACATTAAAATTTAAATGTAATTTGCATTTATCCATTAGAAACATTTGGACTTTCCTAAAGTTGGTGCAATGTATGCCTTTGTGAAAACCCACAGGCCTTCATTTGCCTTTAAAACCCAATCCCCATCACACCTAGACAAATGATGAGAAAACCCTTGTGATTCTGTGTCAGGCTGCAGAGTTGTCTGCTTTGGCATGCCTGCCTGACTGCAGAGTTTTCAGGTTCAGATGGAGGACAGCTTCCTGTAAACTGAGTGATTGTGTCCATTCTTAATAGTCACTCTCTTTCAAAATGTACTCAGTAAATGAGTGAACAGACATTTCTCAGTGTTATGGATGCTGTATGTAGCACCATTCCATCGTATGTCCCTTTGAGGGGTTTCTTGTCCTGACAGCAATGAAATACTGTTACTCTCAAACAAATACTGACCCTGGCTTCTCTTTCAGCATCTATGACCCCTCCTGTCTGTTCCTGCAGCAGTGCATACGCTCTCTGCAGGGCCTGGTACTCCTTTGTCAGCTGTCGAAACCGCAGCTCTGACTCTTCTGCTGCTAAACCCTGAAGAATAAGAAGGGACATGTCTAAGCCATGGAGAGCAAAGCACTGTCAAAGTAAAGAATGCAAAAGTGATTTGTTAAGAACAGTAGTTGCTTTACAGGTCTTGATCTGAATAGCGTTTTGGATCACAGTGAACTTGCTGTGATCTGAAATAAAAAAAATGGGGAGATTATACAGCATTTATACAAGGATCATTGAGTCCAACTCCTGGCCCTGCAAAGCTCCATCCCCAAGAGTCACTGAGAGTGTTGTCTAAACACTTCTTGAACTCTGTCAAGCTTGGTGCTGTGACCACTTCCCTGGGGAGACCACTCCAATGCCCAACCATGCTTTGGGCGAAGAACCTTTTTCTAATATCCAGCCTAAACCTCCCTTGACACAACCTCAGGCCATTCCCTCGGGCCCTGCCACTGGCCACCACAAAGAAGAGATCAGTGTCGGTCCCTCCTCCTCCCCTCATGAGGAAGTTGTAGACTGCAATGAGGTCTCCCCTTAGTCTCTTCTCCAGGCTGAATAGACCAAGTGACCTCAGTTGCTCCTCATACAGCTTCACCTCAAAGCCCTTCACCATCTTTGTTGTTCTCCTTTGAACTCTCTCTAGCAATTAAATATTTTTCTTATATTGTGGCACCCAAAACTGCACACAATATTCAATGTGAGACCACTGCAGAGCAGAGCCGAGTGAAGCAGGACAGCAGGACAATCCCCTCCCTTGGCTGGCTGGCAACGCCTGATGCCCCCCAGGACATAGGTGACCCCCTTGGCTGCCAGGGCACTGCTGACTCATATTCACTTTCTGTCAACACCTGGGTCCCTTTCCAAGCACTGCTTTCCAGCATCTCATTCCCCAGTCTGTCTGTACATCCAGGATTGCCCCATCCCAGGGAGAGAATCTGGCACTTTCCCTTGTTGAACTTCATCTGGTTGGTGATGGCCCAGCCCTCTTGATTCATCAAGGTCTCTCTGCAGGGCCTCCCTGGGTTCGACAGAGTCAACAACTCCTCCCTATTTTGCATCATCTCAGAACTTGCTTAGTAACCCTTCCAGTCCTGTGTCCAAGTAATTTATGATGAAATTGGAGAGCACAGGGCTTAAGATGGAGCACTGCAAAACCCCCCTAGTGACAGATCACCAGTAGGATGTCATCCCATTCACTATAACTCTTTGATATGTCTTTAAGCTACATGAAATGTGATAGGTTTCCTTGAAAGAGGTGAGGAAAACCACCTCAAATTGCAGGGCAGTCATACCTACAGAATCTATGGACTGTATTGTGAAAGAAACTCTCAGCATTTTAGTATGAGTAACCAAAATTAAGGTCAAATTTAAAAAGTATTTATCACTCAGAATGCACTATAAAAACCTAAGTGTTCTTGAGAGACTGACCACTTGTTTTCAAAGTCATCTCTTGAAAACCTGTAACTTGTCTGTGGAAAGAGTCAGATCTTACCTCATCCAGATCATCATCTGGGGTTGCTGGTGTCCTGTCTGTTCTATATGAGGCCACAGAGGATGTTTCAGAGTCCATAGAATCATCATCATACCCAAAAACTGTATCCACCACATGTCTCTATAGAAGGAAAAGCATGATTTCTGAACCTTCATGTAAACTTGTAGCATGTGTTCTAGAGAGCAGCAGAGGGGGGAGTTGCTAGTTACTTAAAAGATGAGGTGTGAAAAGTGAACAGTGGGCTATCCCTGCAATTATCATCTTCACACAAACTCAAAGGAAACCCAGTGAAGATCAGGTCTTGTGCTGCTGAAGAGTAAGTTTGCTGAATAATTTTTCTGAGGGTCTCTGTCAGTCTAATTGGAAAACATAATGTGAGCAGCAACATGCCAGAGGAAAAGTCTCTGCTCTTACAAAAAGGCAGGACAATTGTTTCTTAACCAAGAAGCTCTTCAAAAGACATCTATCAACATGCAAAGTGTAGTGTAGTGTAGTGTAGTGTAGTGTAGTGTAGTGTAGTGTAGTGTAGTGTGCAATGGTTACACCATAAGGAGCTGGAAACACGTAGAATAAGCAGCCCTCCTTCTTCTTGCACAGACACTGGTGATAATTTTCATGTCTAGGTGCTTCTCTTGCTGATACGGCTGTTGGATCATATGAGTGAAAGCTATGCTAATACAAAACTAACGTGAAGGAACTTTTATTGCATCTTTCCAGGACTACAGTAACTGGCATCCTTTATAAACAATTGCTCATGCTCCACAGTTTGGTTGTATGCCTGGCACCTCACTATTGCCAATTTCATAGCTGAATTAAATCAAATGAAAACTGTGAGACATGTCCTGTGAAGACACAGATGCTTGACCCTGCAGGCTTGGTTTCAGGGTACTGATTTGAGCATTTAAATACTTGGCTTATGGATAATTCTGAAGACAAGCTGATCAATGAGCAATTAAGATGCACTTCTTCTTAGCAAAATCTTTCACTTTGCTGACAGATTAAAACCTTCCAAACCTGGAGTTTGAATCACACTAAAAACATGTGCCAAAGATGTCAATTAGCTTTTGCATATATTATAATTTTTGCTCATTGTGTTGTCAAGTGAAAACAATTGCCATATTCTCCAATGTTATAATCTCTGGTTTCAAAATAAAATTTACTGATGAAAATACTATTAGGTCCTTGTTGTGTCTGCTGTACACCACTTCACTACCCACATAGGAACAATGTGACGACACAGCTAGGATTTACTGGTCTGAAATTCCCAGTGTGTAGACAGTGCTGTGTGACTTTTACAGAACATGGCTGATCACAGAAAAAAAAATAGGAAGGTGTCTGATAATGTTAATACCTCTCAGCATAACACACCCTGGGACCAATACTTATAGAAACCAAATGGAAGGACAATTATTACTACTGGGTGGGGGGACAGCCATAGGAAGGACGATGAATGGGACAGGAGCCCCATTTTGCTGAAAATAAAATAGCTGCACACCCTTAACAGAATTTCAAAGTGGATTTAAAAAGCTCTCCCAAAGTAACTAAGGAATTTATAAACCTGATCACTAAAGCAGATTGTTATAATCCACAAAGCTCTCTTTAATCAGATTGCTAAAGTGTGTTTTCCTACACAGCCTACTTGAACATTGTAAATAAGAAACAATTTTTCATCTTACCTTGATTGGTTTTGAGCTCCTTTTATGCCTTCTCCGACGAATGAGTTTTTCTCTGTCCTAGAAAGCAAGATTAAAAAGTTACTCTCTCTTCTCTTCTTTGCAGCTGACAGATGGACAAATATATGGAGAAAATAAATAATAGAAGTTCCAGTGACTCTCTCCATACGTTCAAACAGGAATCCAATTCCAGGTAGAAGGGAGGATTTATATGCAAATCTGTATGTGTGTCAGCTGAATACCACCTGAAAAAAGCCCTTGTGTATTTGCCTTGAGCAGCTGTCAAAAACAGGAGCTGATGCACTGCTCTCTAAAATCACTGGGAGGCCTGGTGCATGGGTTTGGGCAGGCTGTCTGCCTTCAGTGATGAGGAGATGCTGCCCCTATCTCAAAGTCATTAAATGATGGCAGTGTCGATCTCATCATTCCTAGCAATGATATCTCAGAAGAGACAACAGCCCGTTTTGGAATCTTTCTCCTTCTCCTCAGTATCATAATGAAAAGTTCACTGACAAAGGAATTGTCAGCATTAAATGACAGAAGGAAACCCACTGTCTAGCTGTACATGCTTTTCCAGCACGTGATATGGCGCTGTGGGCCAGCCTCTTGTTAAGGGAACTTTTTAAGCATGACTTAGTTATAATGGTAAAACACCTCGGCACAGCCCTGCCTTGTGAACATGTAGGTACCTTCCCAAGCTCCACAGCTCTTAGTCTGCATTCCTTTCTGGAACTCAATTCACAGTGTTATGGTTTGAGTTGTAGGGGCTGATGCCCAACTACAAATTCAGTAAACTGCACACATGCACACCTACAGCTAAACATCTGCAGATGTTAAAAGCAAGTAAGGTATTAATGCTCAGACCTCTAGTTATAAGAAGAAATACTATCAGTCATAAACTGTACACAGCAATCATTCCTAATTTCCTTGTGCTCTGGACATACCCTTGTTAACTCATCAATTATGTTCTGCTGTTCTATGACCTGAAGCTTTAAAAATTCAGTTTCTTGTTCCTCATTAGCCTGATCCAGGTCATTGAGAGATCTTAATTTCTTTAGAGGAGGATGTGATGTTATTTTTTCTCTCTGTGGTAAGAAGAAAAGATAAAAGAGATAAAATAAGATCCAGTGATTAAAAGATCCCCTTTCAGTTAAAAACTAAACATCACCTTTCATTTAAGCTTTAAATATGCTTCAGCTACACCATTTTTTAATTCATGTCCATCAGCGCTTCTTAAGAATAAAACAGCACAGTAAGGCTGAATTCTTCAAGCAGAACAACAAAGCTTTATCTATTTAGTTACCATGTGGCAATACAGCCTTTACAGCCCTTAAAGGTCACATACCATAGCACTTCCTTGGCCATGCATCAAGATGCTCCCAAGTGTGGCAAATAAGAGTTGAACCTGTCCAGTGAGTAGGCAAATAGTATCTACTCTCACAACCCCATGTCCTTACTGATAGTCAATGTAGGACCATACACAGTGAGGCAATGGACATGCTTTACTCATGTTAAAGACACGCATCCAGTCATACCAGGAGGAAAGGCAAAAACTGTGATAACAGATTTATTTTAACCCCAGGTCAATATTCTACCTGCTCCTGAGCATATGTGGGAAAGGAGATGGCTAAACCCTGTAAGAATTGCTCTAGCCACCAACAGCTTGTCATATTTCATGATTTGGGCATCCATAGTGTGAAGAGCAGATATCAGGGAGCTAACTGAGCACATGTACACTGTGACCACAGATATGCACCAGTGGTACTGCCCACTGATGCCAAATGCATGCAGGTTCCAGAGTCCCTTCCCTTTGCTGTGGGAGACTCCAAGGGACAGTGATCTGCACTGCCACAGCTGTGGAAGAATAATTCTGACCCATGACACCTGCAATAAGTTTATCTGTCTTCTAGACACGGGTAAATTGCAGAGTCTTTAAGTGGATTAACTGTGTACCACTAAGGTCTTTTTCTGTGGGACAGGAAACTGAATCTGATCACCTCTGCCTAATCAGCAGGAAAGCTGCCCCCATTGCAGGGCACTTAGCCTGCTCAGGACAGTGGCTACTACAGGTCAGGGCAATGTCCAAGAACACCTTTAGCAAGGGAAGTCATCTCAGTCTGCCAGCTTACATCTGGCAACCCAGAACATCCACCTCCTTTTTCATTAATGCCAAAGCCACAGCAGTGCATGTGTAGGAACACAGGGCCTGGAAGCAGACTGATAATCACGACAACCCCGTCTGAAGGATATACAGACATAACTGTTTTGACCCCACTTCATATGGCCCTGACATGGGAAATGTATAGCCCTAAACAAATTTAAACACCACCATTCTCCCTTTCCCATATCCACCTACCATGCATCTGTTTTATGGCAAGATTCCATGTGCTTAGTGCCATACCAGAAGTCTACTTTGTCGTCATCAGCTCTAAAAGGAATGTGTACATGATGCAAGAACATCATTCTGGCTGAAAACATCACTCTTAACAGCTTCCTTTTTGAGTTCCAGATAAAAAAATAGCACAGTAGGACATGACACAATGATATAACATTTTCCTCTTTCTTTTTTTTTTGAAACCATTGACACTCAATATTCTAACTTTGAAAATATAATTAAAGACTGTGATTATGCATTCACGTAAATATATTGCCTGCCCATGTATGCATAGTACACTATGTTATGGTATGTAAATCTATAATAATACAGACCAAACCACGGCTGTATCTTAGCAATAGTATTACACATTATATACAATGCAAATTTTCTATTCATATACATCATGCACTATGCAGATGTAGCCACCAACATATAGATCCCCCAGTAATACTCATTTTGCTCTTCAGTACCAACCATTTCTATATTTTCTTTAGTGACTGCTTTGAGTTTATCTTCCATGCGCTGCAAAGACTGCATAAGTTCATCATTTCTCTTTGTGAGGCACTTGTTCTTTTCCAGAAGAGGTTTACATTGTTTCTCAGCTTCTCGGACACGCTTCAACTGGATTGATAATAGCAATTAATAATTGTCATGAGAAACACATGAATATACTTGTAATTTGCAATCTTGACATCTGTTTTGCAATTATGACATAAAGAACATTGAAGCTGGCTAAACTGATATAAAAGGAATGCATTAAGATTTGTAGCTCAGGAATAAAAAAACCTATTAAGAGTTCAATTTATCACCCTCATCCTTAATCAGAGAAGTTGGAATATAAACAGGTTAAATAGCCAGGGTCCTGATTCAACACACAGATATCACCACAGATTAGACAATCAGATAAAGGGATCAATTAACAGTTGTCAATTCTTTCTAGATTCAGTATTTCACTATTTTCAACCTGGTCAAATACTGGACTACAGACCTAACAGGCATTATTTCATTTACAAGGTAAGACTCCCCGTGCACAAGGTAAGTCACCAAGCACATGCTGTGTGCTCAAAAGGAGGGAACAGAAGCATTCACACAGAATCCTACAAGCCTTGCTGCCTTGACCTCCACTGTGATTTTGTACTTACATAATTTCAATGAAATTACTGTTTTATTCTAGGATAAAAAGTCCTCCTCAGCCTCCTGAGTGATGGGCCTGATGGATGGACAAGGTATGTTCATCACCAGCTTTATCCTTGGATAGTCCCCCTCTCCGCCTTTCCCCGTGGCTCTCAACCTCCTCTGTCTGCAGGTGCAAAAGCTCACATACCAGCTCATTTCGTTCATCAACAAGCAACGTGTTCCGGTCTTCCAGCTTCCGTATGGTGGCATTCAGCTCTGCTATCCTCTTCTGGTTTCTGCGCAAGTCCTGTGCATGAGCAACAGTGTCACACAGTTACTGATTCTCTTCAAAATACATGCTTGGAAAAAGAATCCTTAAAAAAAATATACCAGTCAACCTAAGCTGTCATCAACAAATTATCTTTAGGGACTTTGACAGTACTGAATATGTTGGCATATATATATATATATCTATCTATATCTATATCTATATATCTATATATCTATATATCTATATATATATATATATAGATAGATAGATAGATAGATATCTAGGAGGAAGTATCTGGTTTGGGGATACTTCAATTGAAAATTTTAAACCATTTAAAAAAATTAAGAGAAAGCAACCAAACAGATGATAAGTTTTTATGACAGAGAAAAAAAGCTAGAAGATTCTAATTTTTATTGTCTTTTCCTATGGGTTGCTTCTATTTGCTGAGCCACTACCTCAGGTGAAAAAGCCAGGACAACCCTTTCTGTATCAATTACATTTACATTCTTATTTCTCATTTCTATGTATGTAAATATGCATTTAAATATGCATTGGTTGTGTAAACATCTTCTGTTTAGTCACACAGTGGGTGACTTGTGTGCTTTGTGAATGACACCCAAGGGCTGTTTGTGGGAAACAGAAAAAGAGGAGGATCTCCTAAGGGTCTCACAGATTCTCCACGCCCAGCATTTTCCTTGGCCCTCCCTGCTCATCCTTGTAATTCTATCTGGTTTTGAGGATGCATGTTATCTAGGTATTAGGTTCATCGATGATTCTTTCAAAGGGGCACTGATTATTTAGGATGTGTTATATTTGTGACTAGAACAACTGATGAAAACCAGCAGTATAAAGTTTTGTCCAACTAACATGCCCTCTGAAGACTCTATGAAAATTAACTTGTCTTTAGTGAAAGCGTGGGAATGTTTTCCTAGGGCCTGAGAAGGTACGTCAGAAAGAAACACACATCCATGCTACTGTTTTGCAGGGACCATAAAACCTGCATACAGGGCTGCTGCAGTGCTCCGAACCATCTCCAGCCCTTCCCGGGATCTCTCTCTTGGGACTGCTCATGTTACACTCTGCCTCCTTCACCAAAAAGAGCTGTTCATCCAGAGCTTCCTTTTGCAGCTGCAGCTTCTGCACATAGCCTGTCTGTGTCTCCAGTTCTTTCTCCAATGAAAATATGATCCTGTCTTTAGCCTTGATCTCATCCATCTGAATGAAAGAAACACCAGAACAACATTACTGTGTGAAGGCAACAGCATTTGTCCGATTTGTAATTTGTATTGTATGATTTACTTAAGAGCAGTGATCACCTGATCACCCCTCAAATCTGCTCTACCATAATGCACCAGGCCTGTAAAACAACATAGTCTGAGCCATACCCATAATGTGGCACAGGAGCACATTCATTGAGCATTTTGGCAATGTAAGAATACACCTCTAGGATGCAGACTGTGAACTGGGGAGAGGTGTATCATTCTTGACAGCTTAAATTCCCATTTATTTTACTTAATTGTAAATTCTTGAATTCCAATTTTTAAGCTAAACTTTCTACCATTACAAGCAGGTCCAGCTCTCCACATGACAGTGTGTCCTGCTTCTGGCCAGGACAAGGTCAATTTTTGCATTTGCAAGGTCAGAGATTATTCTCTATCACCTCATGTCATTTTCTGAGTATGGGAGAAGGGGTCCCTTCTGGAGGAGGGTAGTATGGCTGTGGTCAGGTCACAGGCTCCATGGTGAACATTTTGCACGTAATCACTCTCCTCTCTCATGTACATATCTCATTGCTGTTTCCAGTCAAGTGGTCTTACATCAATTCATGATCTCATCTTTACCTTTTGTGCCTCCAATTCTCCTCTCCAGCCCACTGCAGGGACTGGGGAGTGAGCAAGTGTCAGTATTTTGGAAAGCCTAAGCACAAATTGGGAAGTTTCTAAACCATGACACAGGGAAACAATGCAACCTGCACCTTTGCTGGTGTGAGCTTCTTTTTGTTCATTTTCCACAGCAATTACGGAAGGCTACACCAAGACCAACCCAAAAGGTATCGCCTCTCCTGCCATGGTTTATTGTGTTTAGGATACCATAACACAGGCTGGAGAAAGCAAAAAACTGCAAGCGCAGATGCAAATTCTCTTTATCTAACCCTTTCCACCTTGCATGTATTAACAAATCAGAGAGCCAAATCCTTATGGATTAGACCAATCACTCTCCTAATTTAAGGTGTTAACTGCCATAACAGTGTTATAGCTGACTCACTGTGATCTATTTATTCCTGACAAATGACAGTGAGATATCTGTAATACTTTTTCAAAGTGAGTTGCATTGCAAGAGATCTGTTACACAGAAAAAGCTAAGAGACAAAAAAGGCAAACTCAGTGCAGCCTAAGAGAACACATGAACTGTTTTGATTACTGACCAGGCGTCGAATATCCCTTTCACTCTCCCATTTGATCTTGGAAATGGCCTCTTGGTGGGACTGATGCTCACTCCGAAGATCACCTGCCTTGATCTTGTCGGCCTGGATCATGTTGTTAAGGGCTTCATCTACCTGCTTTTTGGCAGACTTCAGTTCCGTAATTTCCTGCAGAAGCTTAAGGCGCTCAGAGTCAAACTGTTTCCTGGCCTCTTCACGAGCCTCAATAGTCAGCGCTGTCCGTACTTTATCACTGCTCCCATCCCGCAGTGCGCACAGCGCCGACTTCAGGCGCTGGATTTCACTGTCTCGGACTTTCACCATTCTCGTCATCTCCTGCTCGTGCTGTTTGATGAGGTTTTCCCTCACAGCCTGCAGCTCCTTCATTTTCTCCTCATGGAGTTTGGCTTTTAGCTCTGTGATCTGCACGGTCTGCTTGCGTTGCTCCACTTCGCGGATACGCTTCGTTTCTTGAGTCTTTTCTCTTTCGAGCTTAGCAACCTACATTGAGATAAAATGAAAGTTCATCTGCTGCCAACATAACACTATCAAAACAAGCCCACCCAGACATCCATGTCAAATTGAGAAAAAACCCCTCTGAGACCCCAGACAATCCTCCACACTCCTAAAACAAAATATAGGCCAGCTCCTGAGGTATTCACGTAGATGGCATTGTCTTTACTCAAACAAAAAACCCTCTCTTCTCCAGGTGTCTTGCCTCACACAATGATGCTACATGTACTTTTAATATTTCCCTAGGAAATCAGACTCCCTATATATGTGTGCATTTGTCTAAAAGCTTTTTAAACCAGCAGCCTAATTCACCAGAAAACTGAAGGGCTCGGATAAAGCAAAATTCCTACAACTTTCACATACTGCTCCATTTGAGGGCCAGAGGTTTCTCCAACTTGTAGCTCAGTAAAATGGAGTCTTTTCCATGGAAGCCATAGGACATCCATAGTAAATGTTGTATTTTGGGAAAGAATCAGACCACTTTTTTAGGAAAGAGTTGTGTAGCCACTGTTGAATTCTGTGCTACTATTTTTTCCACGTGTTTGTCTTCTTCAGCAGACTCTTTTATTTCAAACCAAACTGTCACTCACCTTAGATTTCTCCTGATGCAGCTCAATTTGAATGTCTGTTAGCTTAGTCCTGAGTTCCTCATTGGCAGCCTGTAGGGCAACAATCAGCGCCTCGGGCTTTTCGCCCTTGCTCCGTCCTTTTTTTGACATGGTTTTTTATCAGAGGGTCCACACGTTTGTTTCAAATATGGATTGCCATCTTCTTCTGTTCCTTTCAGTGTTACTTAGTTCAACAACTACTGCGTGACATTCCTTAAGGTCCTGGACTCAGCTGCTTTGGAAGCTCTGTAAGAAATAAGACATACTATTATCTGTCAGTGGACACTGCATCTGGACAGCTCACATGCTTACAGAACACAACAGAGTGCTCCATCTCCAAAACACTGCAATCTTTGCCTGAAAACCTACAAGGCAGATCCCAGCATAATCATGCTTCTGAACACCAGCCTGCCACACTTTTGGGAATTCCATGCTTGCCCTCTTCTGTTCTCAGAAAGGGGCACCATGCATTAAAGACAGGAGTTCATTTACCATAAAGATTAGTGCTATTGAGAGTATGAGACTGGAAGGGATAGGTTATTTACTCCAATCCTTGCAGTCTGAGCTAACCACAAACCAGACAATTCAGTGTCAAGGATCTACCAACAATATCATTCTCTTGCCCTTCCCAACCCCTGATCCTCTTCAAGATCCTGTGCAAAACTCAAAGACTCTCCACAACACTGCTACCATCTGTCACAAGAAGAAAAGGCAAGTGAAGTCCTCAATCAGCATTCCAGGCCTCTGTGGAAGCAGAAAACGAGTAACATGCAAGCACCTGTTCAGACTAGAAATTGTCCCCATGGAGTAAGAAATGAGTGCCCACGCCTTCTGGATGATTAAGATCCTAACTTACAAATGAGGCAAGAAATGCCAGTATCACACTGTAATCTAGCACCTGGGGTTTTAACATCTGGTTATTAACAGTAAAAAATAAAATTCTGGACAAACATAATCATTATCCCTGTATTCATTTTCATTTTATAGTATTACTACTGCCATTTGTGGCTGCTAGCTGAAATAATGTTTGGAGATCTGGTATATCAGTCTGGAGATGGGCAAAGCACTGAAACATTAAGACTGCAAAGAATGGGGCAGAGCACAGTGTAGTGGTAGTCGTCAAACTTTCCAGCAATAATGATTAGTGCTCCAGTGCTAGATTCCAGGCAAGATTTCCTCCACTACTGTCAGATTGTACATTATTTTTTTTTATATTTTATTTGCTTTAGGTACAAAAGATAAATAGAATTCTAATCTCCCATGTTAAAACAGAAGGGACTTCCAAACATGAAAGACTGTTTGACTCAACAAAAACTTGCACACATCAGCAGAAGGAAAGACAAGAAAAATACTTAAAGTCTCTGTGTTTCAAGAAGGAATTTTGAGGCTGTTTCAGTAAGTCCAACCAAAGAGTCATCTGAAGGCATTTCCTGCGGCACTTTACTCGCCCCTGTTCTTCTTTAGAGTGCTACAATAATAGCATCAGGACATTTTTACAGTAGCTTAATACTAAGGCTGATAGAGAAAGATCACTTGCAAGCTGTAGGCCACTTTCCCTGTCATGTTCCAGCTGTGGAATGCTGTTTGTTTGTGTACATCCACAAACCTTTTTTAGGCAGAAAAACATGGGATTTGCCATCAGTATCACAAAGCAGGCAAAGCACAGTAACCAATCTCCTGTTATGTATGGTGATACAGTCAGTATGGAAACTGAGATGCATTTCAGAACAAAAGGTTCTATTTCAGCAATAGTATTTCCAAAGTCAGAGAAGCAATCTCACACACTAAAAAGTTCTCAAAATTAAGGCCACCCCAATTAGTTATTACATATCATAGAGGTATGAGCAAAAATCTTGGATGTAGTTTCTGCCACAACAATCTTACAACTTGTTCAAAATATCCAATATTCACTTACTGTGAACCGAGTACTTTCCAAAACACAGAAAAACCCATCCATTTTCTAACACCAGACGCTGCTGTCCATTTTGACTGCACACCATGCTTCTGCACCACAGCCACCACAGTCCTTTACTCTTAAGGCATCTCCCAGCAGGCCTCATTACAGAAGAATATGCATATAGCTGTACATTTATAGCAATTAGAAAGACTGCTAATTATGCAACAGCTGTCCAATATGAGAACCACCAAATGCAAGAGGCATCTGAAATACCAAAACTCATTGAAACACTTGTGTGAAATAACTTTACAGGAGGACCATTGAAAAACTGGTTCCAGTCTCATAATAAGAAGTTCCAGTCTTATAGAATAGATATCCAATTGCCTACTCAAGTACAGTTTAAAAAAATCATACTTGAAATATGAAAAAAATGCCTGCAGCTGAAAAACACTTTACCAGTCTATACAGTGCTAAAGTGAAAGTAAACTTGACCGTTGACTAGAACGGGAGACCAATATGCCTGCCATGGTACCTAAATCCATAAAATGTACTTAGAGATGAGCCTGGGGACTCAGAAAAAGAAGAGGGAAAGAGAACTCCATTAACTCTTAGAATCTTAATCAGCCATACTGCCTTTCATCTTGATGAATGAATAAATTAATGTACGCATGCTTGTTCTTGCTTTGAACAATGCCCCATAATTGTACCAGAATGCTGCAGTGATGGATATTTAGGATGGGCTGAGAATTCATAGCTCTGATGTGACCAAGAACACTTCAACAGTGTTAAGCAGTATGCAGACTATTCATAATAACACATCTTAATTTTCTTTCCCAAGAGAGATCCAGAGAAGCACCATTTAGCCCAATTAACTTTTAAATATGAAAGAAAGTTTAAAGTAAAACATAACTGAACAGTTCCCTTTGTTGCATAGGTGCTATCTGCTCTAGGTGTTTGTTTATCAACAATGAGAAACAGGGTACATGCCAAGTTTGCTTACTTACTCCCAGTATCTGACAGTCCTCTTCCACAGAAGTCCCTATTACAAGGAAGAACATACTTCCAGAAGGATGCTAATACAAGCACCAGCTCACCAAGCACCAGTAGGTCAATTTCAAGGATCAACTGATCACCTCTGACAGAGCATCTCTTATTGACTCCTCCAAAATCTGCAGTCCCAGGAGGAAGTTTATAGGAATAACACAACACCTAAAGTATTAGAGAGGGACTATCAGAAAAAATTTTATTGTCTCGTTTGTGTGATCATTTATGTTTTACTAAAGAGGAACTTGCCGCATGATCAAATAATTTTATCGCCAATGAACAAGGTGAGTGTAGCTAAAATTGCAATTAAAAGAAAGGGGCTTTTATTTTTCTTGCCCATAGGAAAGCTCTGCCTCCATCTGAGTTCACACCAAGAGTCATACTTTACTTTCAGTTACAATTTTCTGCTTTCTGAGGGCAAGAGCAGATAGAAATCCTATCTCATACATGTGCTCCTCCTAACACCTTGCTCTCAGACAGTTGATTCTGCTCAAGGAGTGGCTCCACTGTGAAGAGGATTTACCTACGTGAACAAGCAAAAACTCTGATCTAAACTTGCTTTTCCCTGAGCCCAGAGCCAGCATTTCAGCTCTTGCCAAGACAACGATTAACATGCTAATTTGGAACCCCTCTGACCCAACTCTCCATCAGAAAAGAGTGCTGTGAGTCAGGTTAGGTAACCCTAACATGAGCAGGTGCTCCAAATCACAATGGCTGATCCAAGCACCCTGGCTCTAGATCCCAATCTTCACTCTAGAACCATAACTTCAGAATGTGGCAAGCATGATGAGAGTATTATGAGAAGCTTTTTCATCCTTGGCAAATCCTCACAACCTTTCTGAGCTTCACCATCTCTGCCAACAACCTGCAACAATTCTGAGGAGGCATTTTCTGTTCTCACAAAATGGTGAAAATCCCTTGGAACTAGAGGAGCCATTAGAGTGCTTACCTGCTGGAAATTCCAGTAGCCAGACTGGATTCATGCTTGTTGATTGATCCGGTCTTAGGCAATACTTTAAGGAAACAGTATTTCCACATAAGCTAATTCCCATTACTGCACCAACTCTGTTAGCTACAATGGGAACACCAGCCATACACAACTCCCGTGCCTCCAAAATCAGTCTCATTTGCCTAGCGGAATTTGAATTAATCCTAAATTAAGTCTTTGCTTTGGATTTTATTTACCAGGTTTCATCTATGTTTTGCATTTTTTCAGAATAAAATTCAACCCCTAATTATTGCATACCATCCTGTGTGTGTTACGACACATAACAAAATACATAATTAATTAAAACTGTGATTAAAAGCATGAGTTACATTATTTTAGTATTACGTCATAATTTAGCATATCAATATCAACTCAAAAACTCAGTTCAGACTTGACAAACGGCTCTTAAAGGCAAATCCTAACCATCTCTGATTTTGACTGCACAAAAATCACTGTATTATAGTTAGATTTCTAATCAATACCATAATAATTTTCAGAAATACTAAAATACCTTCTGGACTGAGCTCACAATATCCCTTGGATATGAGGCTCTACACAAGGAATACGGGATGAATCTGGTGCTGCTAGGCTGCTCATGCTAAAATTACCATTGGCCCTTGCTCTAAAACATGAACCAAAAAAGCCCTATCCAAGCTGGTGACTCCATGGAAACAGTAGAAAGGGTACAGAAGCATTATTGTTACCCGCAGAAAAGCTAAGCAGATTTGTTAAAACAATATTCTAGTATTTTGTGGCTAAAATACCATCTGTCTCTTTCTCAGACAGTTATTTTCCTAGAAGTTGGCATAACACAATGCAGACGGAGAACACTAACAGTAATAAAGAAAATCCTGCCCTATCCCAAAAGCAAGTGGACATTTTTTAGAATCAGTACTTTTCAGCATAAGATGCAAATGCTTACTGACTGGAGGCTCTACTTAAGGATAGCAGGATTGTCAGAACAAGGACAAGCTCTAACAACCTGCTCAGCTCACTGCAAGATGGGGGCCTAACAAAACATTTTAGTGATTTTGTACTTTGCGCATTATTTTATGCAAGTGGATCACATTCAACCAACAGAAAACATGCACCACCTAGAAGAGAAACACTGCATGTATTATTTTTCCTTTCAAGTTCATTGGATATTTCAGAGTCCAAACTGCAGACTATGATCATTGTGTCATTTCCAAAGAAGCTGTGCTTATGCTCATTTGACCTGACAGCGTTCAGTGTGGCCACACCATAGAGCTTTCTCACGGTTCTTCTAGCATGCTGTTGAATTTTCTATTTAGAGCCCTACCTCCTGGAGCAAAGATTTCTAGTCCTCATATTTTAAAGGAGAAATTCAAACAGACTTTAAAGATACAGAAACTAGAAGTTTCTGTATTACATATATTACAATATTACATTCTTCTACCCTCACAGATTCTGGATTTTGAGAGCTGATGACACAGAACAGTACAGATGCTTTGCACAGACCTGTAAAGAGAAGGTAGCAGAGAATCCATCTCTGAAGACAGGGAGATAAATTTGCTATAATCTGATAAAGACCCAACCTTGAAGGGATATAGATTTATAGAGGAACTTTGAAGATGTTACCTGCTTGGAGGCTATTAATTTCAAAACACATAATGCAAACATGTAATTATAAATTCAAGTAAATAATATTAACATAAAAATTTTTAAAAATTGGGTTTTAAAACAAAAACATTTGGTTTGCAGTCTTGTAGTACAAATATTACATTGCCATGCACCAAGATTAAAGAGAAATCTGATGGATGTAGAAGATACATCCATCAGATCCATCAGATCCATTCCATCACTGGAAAGTGACTCAAAATGTAGGCATCTGGCAAGCGCTATTTTGCTGCCTCACAACTTCACAAAGCCAATAGGAAGCAAAATATTTACCACTATTAAAAATTACCATGACTGAGTAGTGAAAGCATCTTCAGGCTCACACAGTTTGGTTAAAAAGAAGAGGGGAAAACCCCAGGGGTTATAATTAACAAACTACTTGGATTTCCACTGCTCAAGCTACATCTGAGTTATACCAAGCAATGGAATCCATCCCCACACCTTTGTTACAGTTGGAGGACTATTTTTTTTAACTTTCTAAACCACAATATCAACTATAAAATGAATTAATAGAGATCAAAATTGAAAATTATTTTGGGCATCACTCTACGGTCACATTTCACAGCATTTTCCTGACTTGAATACTCCCAGGTCACTTATGCGGCATCTTTCCAGCTACACTGAAGTCTTGAAAATAAAAAGTCTACCAGAACCCAGCATATATTTACAAATTAAAACAGCCAATCACCTCCTTAAAATACAACCATACACAACCATACATAACCATACATATGTAAGCTTCACCTTATGTTCAATTCTTAATGTGCAGGATACCAAAGTTCTTACACAGAAGATTATTTAGCTGGGAATGGCCTCTGAAAGCAGAAGTATTATCAAAAGCCACTTGAAGGTGACAGGGGCAAGCTTCTCAGAAGGGAGGCTGAGTCAATATATTAGCAGTATCACAGAGCTTGAACTTAGTCTTGGAGAGGACACTGGAAATACCTGCTCAAAATCATCTCCAAGGTGGGAGCCATGTTTTTCTACCTTAGGCACTACCAAAACAGTCAGTCAGAGAGCAGGAAGTTGGAAAGGTTGCAGTACATCACTGACAGCCTACTCCTGTCTGCTAGGAGTTCTGCTGACAAGCAGGGAATCCCAACAGACCACCAAATTGCCATAGTTCTGGGAAACAGACAAAGTCAAAGGCGCAATCCATCAACAGCTCCCAGCAGCCACCTCCACTGGGTAACTCCTATGGAAATCCCAGGAAAAGCTTTTCAGCCTTTCCTCCCTGAGGCTCCTCCTTGTGATTTTGCTTCATGTGGAAGCAAGGGTGGAACTGGCTCCAATCACACAGCTTGAGTAGAATCACAGAGTATCTCAAGTTGGAAGGTACCCATAAGAACCACTGAGTCCAACTCCCTGCTTCTCAGAGGACCACTTAATACTAAACCACATGACTAAGAGCATCATTCAGGTAGTCTTTGAACTCTGACAGGTTTAGTATTCTGACCACTTCCCTGGAAAGTCTGTTCCAGTACCCAGCCACCCTCAATGAAGCAGATTTTCATATTGTCCAGTCTGAACCTGCCCTGATGCAGTTTCATTCCATTTCCTTGTGTCCTACTGCAGGTCACCAGACAGAGGAGATCAGCACCTCCCCATCTGCTGACTCCCTTGAGGAAGCTGTAGGCTGTGATGGGGTCACCCCTCAGCCTTCTCTTCTCCAAGCTGAACAAAACAAATGTCATCAGCTGCTCCTCCTAATCCTGGTCATCAAGACCTTTCCCCATCTTGGTCACCCTGCTCTGGATCCACTCTCAATAGTTTGATGTCCTTGCATCAAGGTGCCCATGGCATCTTTTGATTGACATGTCTTGTGTCCTCTTCAACAACGACCACTCCCAGATTTCACCAAAATCATACTTACTCCTAGACAACCTTTTAAAATCACCAAGTGGTCTGTCTGAGCCAGGGTGAGTACCATTTACAGGCCAGCAGCCCTGGGTTTGAAATTCCTATGCAGAGCAGTAGGCCAGATCAATAGAAACAAAACCTGAGTCAGAGCAGAAGCAATAAACCTCACATTATTGCCTGAAAAGGAACAAAACATCCTCCTGATAAGCTACCTTGATGCTTAGATCAAGCATGATACCTGCACCATGGCAGAATCTGACCCAGCAAATCAGAGATGTTGAGAATGGGAGTCCAACATGTCCAACAGTGCAGCACAGGACAGCATCAGAATGCAAATGTTCTTTAAAAATGCACCTCTGTGGTTTTTTTTCCTTACAAGAGGTCAAATTAATTTTTTTAAATATGTTTCTATGTTCCCAACCTATAACATATGAACAGCATATTTTAAATATTTACATTCTCAGCAAAAAAACATAAACAGGTTACAAATGAGTATTCAGTGTCATAAGGTAACTCAAATGTAGGATCTATACCTGTCATAAGTGGCCAAAATGAAACTGAGGAATGGCAATCCAGTAATTTAAGCATAAATTGCACATCACTCCAAGAGGCAGGTTTCCTCCATCAGTGGCTGTGAAAAAGGCATGCGCTGCATGTACAAAGAGATGCACTCTGCAGGATCGGTGTTTGCGAGACAGAATGCCTTCTCACATATAGACAAGCCAGCCCTGACAGCCCAGGACACGTACAGGTGCAATTATGAACATTCTGCTGGGCAGGAAGCCTTGCGTACCGCCGTGGGAGCGGTGGAGCGGGCACAGATGCACCGCGAGTGGAAACGAGCGCAGGAGCGCCCGCAGGGCCGCGCTGGCCTCGCTCCGCTCGGGCTCCCCCGCGGCGCCGAGGCCCAGCCCGGGCTCCGCCGAACGCCCCAGCCCCGGAGCATCCCTTCCCGTCCTCGGAGCATCCCGTCCCTGCCCCAGCCGCCGCACCCAGCGCGCCGCGCCCGCTCCGGGCGGACAATGACCGGCGGGCATACAATGGTGCAGGGCCGCGAGGGGCTGAGGCGGCTGCGGGCTGCGCCTGCCACACCTCTCCCGCCATCTCCTCTCCATCACCAACGCCGGCTCTCGCGCTTCCCTCCCGTCCATCACCTCCATCGCTTCCTCTCCCCCTTCGCGCCGCCGCCCCGGCCCCCGCAGCCGGCCGGTCATTGTTCTACCGCCGCGGGACCGGGCGACCCTCCCGGCCGCCGTCGCCGCCGCTCACCGTGCCGCCAGGGAAAGACGCCGAGCAGCGAGGGATGAGCACGGCGCATCCATCTTCCTGCCGCCGCGGCGGCTCCAGCGCCCGCACCGGCCCCGCCGCCTCCTGCGCGCCGGCGCTGAGGGCGCGCGCCCGCCGCAGCTGCGCCCCGGCAGCGCCGGCAGCGCGGGCCCACCGGGCCCAGCAGTGCTCGCGGCTCCGTCGGGACTCCCTGCCGGCTGGCCTCTGAGGGCGAGGGGCCGCAGCCCTCGGACCACAGGTGACTCGAGGCGTCCGGAGTCCCCGGGGCCTCAAGCTGGAGCTCGTCCCAGGCCTTGCGACTTTCGAGGGACACACCTCACCACACTCCATTTGGCCAGCACGTCAATGGCCACAGTATTTGGGAGTGTGACCTTCATCACCCTGGGGTACAGCTATCCACTCCATGTCTTTCTAGCTTAGAGGCAAGGACACTGTGTGGAAGCAACACTATCAAAAGCTTTGCACAAGCACAGGCAAATGACATGAGTCATTCTTCGCTTATCCACCAGCAAGCACATTAACCCCCACACAGAGAGCCAGTACCAAGTTTATCAAGCACAATTTGCCCCTAGTGACAACAATTTTATAAATGGTCTCGTTGATATCTTCAGGTTTGCATGGAACTGGGAAAGTTCTTGCAAAATACATCAAGATCCAGTTTTATTGTTTAAAACTATCTGCAGCAGAAATGGTTGTTGAATGGACACTATGGAACATAAAACAAGTCGGTAATTTCTAGAGATGCCCAGAACTAAGAACATGGGTTCCCTCTGCTCTATGGACATGCTGCAAATGCATTGGACAGAGGGCCCAGGGCTGTGACCCAGGTTTCCTGATGTGCCCACCTGTACAGTGCACAGGAAGCTAAATGGGAAGGGTTTTAAAATGCATTGTCCTTGATTTAGTCATGCCACAGACAGAGGGCTGTGGCTGTAAATTTATAGGGGTGAACAAAGACACTAATTCTGAAACAAAGGGATAATTATCTTTTTGCCTCCTTAACAAAATGATCCATTACAGTTCATTTGATTCCATTGCTACAGTGCACATGGAAGCTGCACCACAAAGAAGCCCAAGAACTGTAACTTCATTATTTTTTTAACTGTGCTATTCCAACTGCTTTTCTACTGAAAGCCAAAACTATCCATCAGATCCACAGTGAGAACTCAGACAGCTGTCACCTGTAGCTACTTGGGACTCCTCTGACATTTGCCAATACTTTAACATACCCATGGGACTCTGAGTGCCTATTCAACCGCTTCAGTGAAACATCTCCTGTGTAGTTCAAGACAAGCAAAAGTCTCTGATGACAGCAGTGATACCATAAGAGGTCCTCCAAAGAAGTGCAGTAAAGACCAGAGGTAACTTGGCAGAATCAAAATGTATTTTAACTCAAGCACACAAGCTCTTCCCAATGCCTCCCTTAGGAGCAGTCCAGTGTAGTGGGACATGTCTGCCCTCTGACTGGAATGACTTGGTGAGAAGTAGAGCAGGTTCTCACACTGCAGCACAAGCACTTTCACATCAGGCTCCCCTTTCCCTGTTTTCGTCTGTCTTCAGCTGTAGACTCTGCTAACTCCTTCCCTTTATGTGAGGGCAACAACAAAAGGAGGAATTTCCCTAGAAAGAAGTAAGTGTTTGCATGTTCCATCTGCAATGTCACATCCAATGCACAAGTTAGAAGTATCAGAATTGTTCATGGTGTTACGGAAGACAGATTGAGAGGGGAGACACGGCGTGTGGGAGTGTTGTTGGCTGACAAGGATGCAGGAAGGAAAAAGGGAGCAGCAACATCTGTGGATGATGTTTCTCCTTGGTTGCGAAGCTGTAAGATCTGGCGCAGCAGGGCCTTTCCTTCTTCTCTAGTCTGAAATTAATTTGTAGAAAACAGAACAATACAACTATGAATGGATGGTTTCTGGGTCAAATTCAGTATGTAAGCAGTGTAACTTAAAGTAGCTTGTTATTCTATAAGACTACAAGCTATAAAAGCAATTCTCAATTCTTTTTTCTTCTGCTCCTTAGAAATGTTAAGGTAAGCCACTTTTTTTGTTTTAGTCTTTCCTCCTTTTACTCCTGATTGGTGTGTTTCTTGGGTATTTCAGAGAACAGAACCATCAACCACTGAAGTTGTCTAAATATTCCAGTAGTAGATTGGGAAAACGTTGAATAAGGAGAATTGAGGTTGTAGAGAGCTCCAGGCAGCTTTGTCAACGATAGGCCAAACACCCTGCACTCATGGTTAGTGTCTACCATTAGGCTGAAATTAAAAATCCCAAACTGCCCACTTACAGATACATAACATCACCAAGTATGGAGCTGCACACAAAACCCAAGTACTATTATACTCTCTGCACCATCTACACACAGAAGATGAGAAAAAATAAGTTTTAGAAGTATCACCACTACACAGTGTGTGGGAGTTTGTGGCCATTCAGCTACCTCCTCAAGACCAAGACTTTTAGCAGCCTTAAGACTGCCATATGAAGCTTCAAATTTTTTTACTTAGTGAATTCCAGTGAGGTATGGTTCAATTTCACTATCTACACTACATTCCATGACTTTTATCAACCATACTCAGCATAACTGATCAGGTATACACGACAACCACCATTCAGGATGTGACCTGTATGGCAGACAGACCTCATTTCTTCATAAAGGATTCCTTCTACTCTGAGGGGAGCCAAGATTCCTTAAGAAAGAAGCACCAAAGACTGTGCAGGTACTCACATCATTGAAGGCACAGCATTTCTGAGCACATGCTGAGGCTTCATCCCAAAGCTTACATTTGAAGTAGTATTGGGCCAGGTAACGAAATGCAGTGCTGACCTCCAGGTGCTCCACTACCTCCTACAGTGAGTGGGGTAAAAAACATAATTTGTAAGCACCTTCCAAAGTAGTTGTACACCATGTTTACTTCTCCTTTTATTCCCAAGCTATCTTCTTACCCCACAGGAATAGATATCCTGGATGTATTTGATGTAGCATTGAGCTGCCTGCTCAGATTCATTCAGCTGTTCATGCAACCTACAAAAGGAGAAAAGTGGGTCACTGGAACAAGACTGCACTGTGGAAGACCTTCTTGGTCTATGAGAATGTACCTGCTCACCCTGACCTGAACTAAAGCCAGGTCCTTTCCTTCAGAATTTGCAGGACATGCAACATGTACTACCTCTTGTGGAAAGAGATGATCCAGTTTGCATTCATGCTGACAGACACAGAGGCAGTCAGATAGCGACTAGACAGCTAGAAGCAGTAACAACCAAAGCAGGGACCTTTGTATATTCTGTTGCATTTTAAAACTTTTAACAGACCTTTGACATTCTACTTACTATTTCCTCCAGTGCTCCTTCTTCCCCTGCTACAACCCAAATTTGTACAGCAGTTTCACTTTTAATTTGCCCTTTTTTTCCCCTCTTCACATTTCCCACTTTACATTACTTTATCCCCACAAAAAAAATTAGTGCTGATGTCACAGTATTCACATTAAACCTCTTCCAATGTCAGAGCCACATACTAAAAAGGAAAAATAAAATCAAACTACAATTTTGTACATCATCCACCATCATGGGCTGCTTTTAAGTTGCAGTACAACATATACAATTGCTAGTACTGCATGCTCAAAACACCTCAGGATTCAGAAGTCCTTTGCAACCCACATAATGCTATTATTCTCTCTAGTTATCCTGATGGAAACAAAGATAAAGCTGGACACCAAAATTTGCAATCACTACAACCCTAAAGGTATCAATTCTTACACAGTTCTAAAGGTAATATTAGCTAACAGCAATTCCACTTGTTTACAGTCTGTATTTTATCACTGGGTATCAAAATGCTATTTGCATTTAACAGAACCGTGACAGTTCAGTGAGGGTACATACTCACTTGGCAAGTTTCACAAGTGCCATTTTCTCCACGTCTCCCACAGCATAAGCTCTCCAATAGCACTGTCAAGGAAGGAAAGTCAGTCAAGCATGCCACAAAAATTAGTCCAGCTCATGACTCCAGCATGCAAATCAGAAACAAAAAATTACAGAGATTGTCAGCAAAAGGGGCATCTGTCTGTAGACAACTCCTTATTTATCAACTGCTCTAGTTATATTGCAGCAGTACTTCCCCAACTGTAACTGCCAAGGAGTTTAGGTAACACTAGCAACATAATTTTGCTGCAATTTCACCCAGTATTCTGGAAGACACCCTAAAGTCTTACACATCAGTTCTCACCTTCTTAGCTTCCACCAACTGATTGAGTTTCTCATAGCATTCTCCTAGAGCAACCAGCATACGAGAATCATTCGGTCTGTAAAAGAGCAATTCCTCAGGTAGTTTAATAGACTGCCAGCTGATCTCAGGGTGAGGGAAAGATGGGGCGTGGTCAAGGGAAAAAAATAATCTACACCTGGCAGACTATCATCCTTTTGCATAAAGCATCACTCTCACTCCTGACAAATCATCCTCAACATTTAACTGACAAAGTTTTTGTTAACAGTTAACTAACACAACTAAAAGGATTTGGAACAGTGGGACTGACTGCACACATCGCAAAGCATCAATGTTTTTTTCCATCCCCAACTTATTTCTTGCATGTAAATTCCTTAGCCAGTATCAACCATGTCAGAATGAAGACCAGTAAACATGGCTCCATTCTCAACTCTACCTGAGCTGGTGGGCCCGTCGGTAATAGTAGAGACAGTAAAATGGCATTTTGAGGATTTCATAGGTTTGCCCCAAGCCATACCACGCTCTGTAGTCCCTTTTGTTCACCTCTATTGCATGCCTGTCAATGAAAAGGAGATAAACTAGACAGAAAGTCAGAATCAAAACCAAATCCAGCAAAACACTAAGAAAAAATAGAAGATACTACTTCAGAAGCAAACTCCATTTTGTGCAGTACATGAGCGTTACCTATAAGCCTGAATAGCTGCAGATGTGTTCTTCATTTCCATATACTCATGCCCCATAAGTGTCCAGGCTCCTAGATAACGAGGATTCAGTTTCAAGGCCCTCTGGAAATAGAGTGCTGCTTTTTCATGCTGGGAACGCAAGCTATAATAATTTCCTAAAGTAAAAGGCATAATATTTAAATAAATTTCAAAAACCCACAACCAACCAA